GAGAGGGAGAGAGGGAGGAAGGGAAGGAAGGAGGGGGGAGAGAGAGACAGAGAGAGAGACAGAGAGAGAGACAGAGAGAAAGAGACCGACCTGAGGATGCCTGGCATGCTCTGGATCTCCCAGCACTTCTCAGTCTCTGTCTCAAGTCTGTCTGTCTCTCTCTCATTCTCTCTCTCTCTCTCTCTCTCTCTCTCACACACACACACACACACACACACACACACACACATACACACAGCCCTTGCCAGATGCAGCTGCCTAACTGGGACTTCCTGAGCGGAGTAAGCTGTCCACTCTCAGTCTGTGGCACCAACACACAGGCCAGATCCCTCCTGGATAAGCAGCGATTGCTGTACTTGGGTTTGAACTCTAAGTTTTGTTCTCTTACTTTTCTCTATCCGCTGCCTTTTGGCGCTCTTCGGAGCATGCCTTGGTCCACCTCCTAGCTCTTCTGTGAGTGTGCACCAGTCCCGCTAAGTTCCTACGGTTCGGAGCTCTCCTCTGTGCCCTGCACACCCGCAGCCCGCTCTCACTTCCAGAGGCAGAGGAGGAGCCTTGCGCCCTCACAGCCGTCTGGTCCCAGGCAGGGTCTAAGGGGCTTTCCCAGTCCGGATCTGTCTTCACACTCTCAGCGGGGAGGCCCTCGGGCACCCAGCTCTCCCCGGCAGTCCCACGCGACCCTAAGCTTGCGACCCGCTCCTGGTTCTCAGCCTCAGCTCGGGAGCTGGGGGCCTTGGGTCTAAGCCAGCGACCTCTCGTCCCTGGCACTGAGGCCGCCTAGCCTCACCACGAGCCACTCTCTCTACTAGCTTCTTCCACCTGTGTGGATTGATACTTTTGTTTTCTCTTCCAAAGCCTTTTGTTGTAGTAAAAGGGAGGCTCTGCGATAAAGCAAAATTGGATGCATGAGTTTAATTTTTTTTTTTTTTTTTTTTTTGCAGAACCAGGGATTGAACTCAGGCCCTTGCGCTTGCCAGGGAAACGTTTATTCTACTGAGCCATCTCCCCAGACCCCCAGGAGTTTAACTTGTTGACATTCTTAGAAGACTGTATTTACACTGCCGATGTCAATCAGTTATAAAAACAGGACCTCTGCCACCTAGTCCTGGTGTAGTTTCAGTTTTTGTCCAATTAGATCATGTAAGAGCTTCCCTGCTTTTCCACTTTGGTGCCCAACTGTCCCCACGATGTTCCAGGGACACACCCAGGAGCCCAGCAGTGGCCTGAAACTCTGGTGGCACCAAGCCCCACACACTGTATTCCACTTACCCACACATACCTGGGGCAAAGTTTACTGTACACACCAGGCACTGTGGTGATCAGCAGCCTGGGACAATGACAGCTGGCTCAGGAATGAGTCACGTCCTGCCAGGACACGGCAGACTGCACTACAGCACTCAGAAGAGCGTGCAGCTCAAAGCTTATGAGTTGTTTCTGGAAGTTTCCACTGAATGCTTTGACTGTGGTTGATTGTGGGATAAATGAAATCACAAAAAACAAACCACAGGAAGTGAAACCGAGGATAATGGGGAACTGCTGTACCCTGCGTGGATGCTGGGGCACCTGCTTGCCTCAGGATGGGCTCCCAGTGACTCCGCTCCTTTTGCGGCCTCACGCCCTGCCTGAGCCACAGACTCACACATCACACTGTGCACAGCCCACTGGGCATGCCCTGTGGCCATCCCCTTCCCTCCCCCCCCCAAACACACACACACACACACACACACACACTTGCATCAACACATTGATGCGTCCCAAAGAACCTGGCCACCGGTCCAGAGGCTGTTGCCTTCTCTTCCCACATCACGACACCTCCCTGTGCTGCCAGTGCGGGGTGAGGGGCTTCTCACCACCTACAGCCCCCCATTTGCTCCCCAGGACCCCTCAGCATACACTTCTCTACTTCTCTTTGGCTCTAAGCCATAACCCCTCCTTATCTGGATCCTTGTCAGTTTGTTTTCATTCCCCAAACAACACAGTAATCTTCCTTTCTGGGTCCTTGTGCCTCAGTTTTCTGCGTGTTGAGGGCTGATTTTACAAGTGTTCATCCCTATGCTCAGCTTAGGGCCTAAAAGGCCGGAATAAATTCCATCATGTTCTTTCTTTTTCTGTTTAAAACCCTTTAGTGGACTCCCAATGCCCTTTTTTTTTTTTTTGTAATGGGGATCTAACTCGGGACCCTGTGCTTGCCAGGCAGGCACTTGTGTTGGGCTATCTCCCTGGCCCTTGTATTCTTTTTAATAGTTTTTTTTTTTTTTTTGTGGAACTAGGCACTTGCCAGGGAAGCACTTATTCTACTGAGCCATCTCCCCGGCCCCTTTAGTAGTTTTTAAGACAAGGTCTTGCTTTGTAGTGCAGGCTGGTCTTCAACTCAGTGTCCTCCTGCCTCAGCCTCCCGAGTGCTGGGAGCACAGGTGTGTGTCAACACGGCGGGCTCGCCCTGAACAGTGAATGAAAACCACATTCATCCAGTGTGGTTTACCTGCTCCTCCTGCTCACTCCATTCCAGCCATACCGGCCTTCTTTCTAGCGAATTTTAATGAATGGAAGGCATTAGGGACTTTTGTATGGGCTGTTCTCTCTGCTTGAATAACCCCTTCTGGCCACTTTCCGGGTCAAATGTACCTGGCTCACGGATGAACAATTTCCAACCTGTTGTTGGACCATATTACAGCACAGACTTTATTCTTTTCCTTTACACCACTTCAGATAATCTGAACTTTAAATTTAGTCATGCGTTTAAAGTATCCTCTTCCATTTAATGATTCAGATAGCAGAAATAGTTGTGCTCCACTAACTATGTGCATCATACACCACGGTACCTGGCCTATTTTAGGGATTAAAACCTGCTTGCTGAGCTGGGAATGGTGGCGCATGCCTATAATCCTAGACTGAGGCAGGAGGATTGCTGTGAGTTCAAGGCCAGCCTGGACTACACCGTGAGAACCTGTGTCAAGAAAACTCTACACCTTGGTCAAGGTCTCAGAGCAAGCTGGTGTCTTTGCTTACATCTTAGTCACTCTTACTAGGTGATATAATCTTTAAACTGATACTAAAGGACAAAACTATGATCATTGTGGTTCACTTCGTCTTCAGCATTTAAATTCGGGCTGGTGAGATGGCTCAGTGGTCTAAAGCACCTACTTAGAAGAAGCTTAGCAAAGCACAGGGACCGCGGTTCAATCCCCCAGCACCACATGCCAGCCAGCCCCGCCCCCTGGTGGGCTGAGCTGGCCACACACACACACACACACACACACAACATTTAAATTCAAAGACCACAGCTAGGGCTGGTGGCCCACACCTGTAACCCCAGCACTTGGGAGACTGAGGCAGGAGGATCTTCAAAAGAGAAGTCATGGGCTGGGGAGATGGCTCAGTGGAATAAGCGCTTCCCTGGCAAGTGCAAGGGCCTGAGTTCAATCCCCGGTTCCACCAAAAAAAAAAAAAAAAGGTCAGTGTGGGCTACAGGGGAGACCCTATCTCAGAAAGGGTCAAGAGCAGCATTTTATCTGATCTGTTTAATGCGAGGAGACTACAGGACAAAGGGTCAAGGCAATTCATAAGTAACCTACGAAACTAGTGGTTGGGGACAACCGTGAACATGAGAACACATCACATGAGCTTCACTTACACACGCCTGCACACAGGTGCACATACACACAAATGCCTGCACAAGTCACAACAGCAAGTGCGCTCCCCCACGCGGTGGGGTCAGGAAGCCACGCACACAGGCAGAGGGGCCTGCTCGGGAGTTCTTCAGACCAGGGAGAAGCTGGGAGTCTTGAAAAGGCCCCCCGGGGAGACGCGGGCGGGGCAGCCTGAGACGAGACAGGAGTGCACAGCAGTTCTCTACCCGTGCCTTCCAGCCAGCTGCGCTCAGTCTGACCACTGATTCTGCCCCCAGACCCGTTCGTCTGGGTTGCAGCCCGGGAGAAGCGGCCGCCGCCCTGCTTCACTACCACTTGAAAGCCGGGCTTGGCTTGTGTGCCTGCCAGTCCTGCACTCAGGAGGCTGAGGCAGTAAGGTCGCCCCTGAGCTTGAGCCCAGCCTGGGCCACTCTGTGAATTCATGGGCATTGTGAACTACATATTGAGACCCTGATTCAAAAAGAGGAAAAGCTCCTTATGTGAAAAAGGTGGAGCATGCATTCAGTAACTTTCAGTAACACCGTAAAATTCTATGATTCTAAGTCATTTCAGAATAATCTGTTTTTCAGGGACATGGTCTTGCTATACAGTTCAGCCTGGCCTCTGACTCAAGGCGATGCTCCTGCCTCAGCCTCCCGAGTGCTGTGATAACAGGCATGAGCCAACATGCCTGCGATAAGAATCATCTACTAACCTAAACACTGCAAAAATGAACGTGGCGTTTTATCTGATCTGTTTAATGCGAGGAGACTACAGGACATATACTGAATACAGTGTGACCGCCTATGACTGCTGACTGGCTGCTCGAACAAGCGGATGATAAAGGCAATTATCAAGCCGACGTTTACGACGCGCGCGGGTTGGCCCTGAACTTTGGAACCTCAGAGGCCTGTGATCAGCACCTCCAAGTCGGCCCTGGGCGCGCGCGGGCGGGCGGCGCGGCTCACCTACGAGTTCGCCGACCATGAAGAGCAGATACAGCGCGGCGGCGAGCGTCAGCCGGGTCCTCACGCGCCGCAGTCGCACGCGCTCGCGTCGCTGGCTGCAGCCGTCGCAGGGGTCGGGCCCGAGGCTCAGGCGGCCTCGCGGCGGCGGCGGTTCAGGCTCCAGCAGCGCGTCGTCGTCAGCCTGCGGCGCCGAGCGCGCGCCGACAGCAGGCCTGTCGCTGGTGTCACCGTCATCCTCGGCCACCACCACGCGGAGCTTGTTGAAGCGCGGCAGCCCCGCGGGGCCCGCGTCGTCGGCGAAGTCGAAGGCGCTGGCGTCATTGAGAAAGAGCGGCGCCGCGTCGCCCCTCCGCAGCAGCAGCGCCCGCAAGCGCGTCCACGCCATGGCGGCCGGCTACGCGCGCGCCCGAGCCCCG